TTTTTTTTTTTTTTTTTTTTTTTTTTTTTTTTTTTTTTTTTTTTTTTTTTTTTTTTTTTTTTTTTTTTTTTTTTTTTTTTTTTTTTTTTTTTTTTTTTTTTTTTTTTTTTTTTTTTTTTTTTTTTTTGGGGGGGGGGGGCCCCCCCCCCCCCCCCCCCCCAAGGAACGTCAGCTCTGGCGACTAGTCACTATGTTCATTAGACTCTGCGTATACCTAGGAGGAAGAAAATTTTTCACATTTTTGCCCAATAGGTCAACGCTGACGAGCTTTTTCTATGCTTTCTAATACATACATTTTATTTGCTGTTATTGTTTAGATGAAGCTGATTTGAATGAATTACGTTCCAAAACAGTTGTCGATGTTAATTTGGATCCATCACATTTCTTCCGAAACGAATTAGCACAAGCCATACGTGACATAAGAAATGAATTTGAAGCATTGAATGATCAACAACGTGCAGATTTACATAATCGTTATATGATGTCTTATAACGAATTGATTCTTCGTCATCAAAAACCTGACTTAGACCCAATTCAAAGTGAACAACAACGTGTACAAGAAGAAAAATTACGAACAACATTATTATCGACACGAAATGAAGTCGCACATATGAAAGCAAGAAATGAAGAATTAAATAACAGAATTCGAGAATTACAAGTACATATTGATCAAGAACGTGATGACGGTACGTTGTTCAGAATGTTTTTGTTTTATTATGAAGTAGGCTTAATATATATTTTGTATTCTTATAGGTTTACGTATTGTTCAAAAACGAGCCTCAGAAATTGACGAATTACGACGTAAATTAGAACAACTTCAAAAGGAATACGATGAAGTAACAACAATGAAAACATCACTCGAAAAAGAAATCAACACTTATCGAGAACTATTAGAAGGAACAAATAATCGTGAAGGTTTGAAACAAATTGTTGATCATGTTGTTGAAGAAGCACGACGTTTGGAATCGGAGAGAGTGACGGGAGGTGGTAGTTCAACACATGTGTCGGGTTCAATTGGTTACGGTACTGGAAGATCTCAATCATCAATTCAACGTACATTTATCAGCACTCAAAGTTCGGGAGTATCAACAGGTGGATCGACTTCACGTCGTGAATATGTATCAGGATCTCAACAGTATTAAAAAAATTATAAATGACATTTTAATCTCTTATTTTTTGTCTCAATATTTTTGACTGTTAGTTCATTGTCGGTTGATATGTGTAGAATAATATTTAAAGTACAATTAAAATTATAGTATAACTTAAGGAGACTAAGTAAAATCTTCTTATGTCTAAGTGTAAGAAAATACTTTGTACGTTTTGAAGACATGACCAAATAAAATGAAAGTGTAGTATGGATTCTACTACGAGTTATTGTAAGAGATATTCATCTTTCAGTGATTTTTAGTCTGTAATATGATACAGATTTATAATTGTTCATTAGAAAGAGAGAATGACTCTTTCTCTATTAGTAATAGTACGACATATTAAATTTTCATACACTTCGGATAATTCGATCGTATTCTTTTAAAATGCATATCGAAATCTGTTTTATGATAGTAATATTCTTGTCTTTTGATCAATGCATCTAAAGATAAACTACGGTTGAATTTTTCTTCTTTTCTTGTTTGAATTTGCTCACTACATATTATATCGATTACTACTGGTATTTGAGTTTTCATTGAATATCATTTTAATATTTTTCGATATATTCATTACTTCGATTGATCTTTGTTTGTAGACTCGTTATAGCGAACTTAGTGTTTTATTCGTACCGAGTACACAATTGAATCGTTTTATTTTGATACTAAACGTAATGTTTTTTTATATTGATGTCTAATGATTATATTCCTTTCTCTCATATGTCACTCGTACAAATTTCATCATTATGAAATCAATTTCCATTTCGTTGATGTGTGACAGTTATATATACTAATAATAGTGAATGTATTGTATAATTTTTTCATCAAATGAAAGAAAAAATTCATTCCAGATTACAAAGTGTATTTTCATCTGAATTTTTTGGTTTTTTTATGCATCTCTTGTAACTGATTAGATCTGGGGACTTGAACATATGTCAAAAATGGTCTCTTATTAAAAAAAAGAGCAGCAATATAAAACATTTTGTGTTTTTAAATTGCATACTACAAAATATGTTGTTTTTCTATTGTTCGATGAACAAACGTCAATTTGGTTCATTTTTCTATTGAGTTCTTTTTTCATTAAATGCTGTGATAAAAACTTTCAAGATTGTTTATTTTAATTATTTAAGAGAGGAGTTAATAACAAATATGAGTTCACCTTGAGTTAAACATCAATTGTTCATTCTATCACTGGTTATGAAAAAGATTTTTAATCTTATATTTAATATCATGACGTTAGAAAAGAAAAGATTTTTTTTTTCTTATTTTGACATCTAGGAAATTTACAGATTCAAGTAGAATAAATATGGTTACTATAGAAATTTCTTTATTGATTAGTCGATTTCTATGAATAAGTACAAAATTGTCACCTCGATAAATTAGGCGTAATAAGTGGAAAAAGAAAACGTGTTTCTGATAAATTACAGTTGACTAACTATTTGTCTATTTCATCTAATTTGAACGAGTTTTTATTCTTTATCTATCAAGTAAAGCAATAGAACAATATTTCTCTTCGATCTTCAGTAAATAAGAATCGTCGTTCATACAAACAAAAAAACATTTCTCTATTGTATTCCAATCTACAGAAAATCATTTACTAGTGATATAATATAGTCGTAACATTGAGTGTAATGTATAGTTTTTAGAAAATAACTTCGAGCATAAGAACATAAGTACAAGTAGAGATAATTGTATCAACTGTTGTCTTCTGCTAAAAGGATAACAAGGAACCACAAAAAAAGTAATTCGTACATTACGATAATCAAGATTTTTTTTTGCGTTTTTTGTTTCTCTATTCTAACAAAATAAGTTTTTTTGTACATGATAATACTTGATACATAAATTGAGAAAAAAAAACAGAAAAAGAAAAGAGTGTATAAAAGATGTCCAGTGTATTAAACTAAAACGACATTATCGAAAATGTTGTGTATGGAAAGATTTATCCTATTATTATGAAACTGACATGATAAAAGACAATATATGTTGTAATTGTTTTAAATAGAGAAATATACATAAATATATGCATTTCTTTTGTTGTTGGAAAAATTACAAAATTGTTTTAGTCCTAATAAATTAATATTCTCTATTTTATGATTACATCTAAGAAAACTGACCTTTTGTACAAATTAAATTTGACAAATATAAGAAGTGATTAAAGGTATGTGACACTAATTGATTTTCTTATTCGTTTTTTTCTTGCTTTATTACTTTTAGACTTTAAGGGTAGAGATAAATCTTCAATATATATATAATCGTTTTTTGTTCATATGTTACGGCTGTTACTATTACTGGACTTGGATACTGATACAAATTATGTAAACATGTGTTTATTATAGCTTCCACTCTTAATTGCATATTGTCAGATAATTTGTTGGTAATAGATTTTTTTAATTCTTTAATAGTATTATCTTTATAAAGGATTTGTTAGACAGCCAGTAGGAGAAAAAAACAATAGATTAATAGATTCAAGTAAATAGAAAATCTAAACCAAATTGTATTAGCCTTCGAGAATGACATTTATTTTTATCAATAGCTTCATATTCACTGCACTACTGACTTACCTGCTATAAAAATCAAAAATATTGAAAAAATCATAAAAATTTATTAATCTCTATCTTTGAATTATTTTTATATCAATTTTGTACATAATTTACATTGTTTTCATGATTATTAAAGATATAAAACTTCAGATATATTTTAATATGTTGATGTAAATGCAATTTGTTTCTAAATTTATAATGTTTAGAAAATGTTCCTGAAGTAGATAGGAGAGAAAAAAAAGAAGTGTTCTATGTTTAATGTACCTCATCTTTAAGATAACCAAAAGTATAAAGATACCATAAAAATAATGTTTTTCTCCCTTTATATAAATGTATCATTGAGGTATTTTGACACACGTTTCTATCATTATTCGGCAAGGTTCTTAGAAAAAGGTCATAGATTTCTGGAAATGAGGAGAGAATTATTATCTATTAATCAAACTGACTGTTACATTAACATTGATGACAATAATAACATACCTTGTTCTTAAATTGATATTATGAGTAATGATAGATGAAATATGACAACAATAAATCAAAAATACAAACAGTCTGTCACTTGACCAAGCACTTGTAAAAACGTTAGAGACATCCATTTTTGTATTTATACAATTCAATAAACATACTAAGCCTAGAATAAAAATACCTCCTTATCTTGATACTGTTAGGTTCACAAACATATATAAACAAATGCCGATATCTGATAATTTGTTTTCTCTCTCTCTCTCTCTCTCTCTCTCTATATATATATATATATATATATATATATATATATTAGGGCGGGTCAAATTGTAGGGAGCAAAAAAAATCGATGTTTTACCTATCCTAGCGGTGTTCTACGGGTCGTTTTAAGAAACTTTGCCCAAGGAACTATAGCTCTATCGTGAAAA